CCTTTGTTAACCTTCATCCGGGTTCCTAAAGGTCGAGAATTTATTTATTAATATGCCTACATTTGGACATTATCACAGATTTTCCATTCAACAATACTCCGCGACGCGGACAAGCAACAGCGGTCAAACTCTCCTCCCGGCACAACTGTAGTCGCTAGTTCTGTCTTAATATCTTCCACTTTATGTTTGGGCCTCTATTATTTCCCCTCAACTCGCACACGTAGTTGGCGAGTTTATATATATATATATATATATATATATGAGAAGGGATAAATTTACACAAAGAATTAAATAGCAATGTTAATGTGATTAATGACGAAATCACTTCGCTATCAGGACTGGATGAGACAATTCCTTGAATAATAAGATCCTTATATTTGAGATGTTGTCAGATGGAAGACACATGCTAAGTAATTTCAACAATTTCAAATTGTCATCTTCAGGGCGCAATTTACCCATACAGAGGCAAACACTAAGACGAAATATGTGTAGGCCAAAAAATGCTTTTTTTTAAAATAATTATGTTACTGATTGACATTTGAATATATTTGTTTGACCTGAAGATAACAATTTGAAATTGTCGATTGTACTTGGCGTGTGTCTTCCATCTGACAATAACTCGAATATAAGGAACATATTATTCGAAGAATTGATAGTAAGTTAATATGTCATTAAGTCCTGTAAGCGAGGTGATTTCACCATTAATCACATTAACATTGCTACCTAATTAATTGTATAAATTGTTTCTTTATGATATAAAATATAAGCTGCACACTCTATATATATATATATATATATATATATATATATATATATATATATATATGTATAATTTTAAAGCATGCTATATTTATGAGATAAAGTACTGATATCAGAGATAAATCGCCTGCAAATATAAAAGTGGACATTGAAGTCAGCACTCAGAGGCGACAGACTGTTTCATGTTAAACGCAATCCTCATGTATGTCGTTTGCGTTTAGCATGAAACAGTCTGTTGCTTCTGAGTTACTTTTAATGTCCACTTACACACACACACACATACACGCACACACACACACACACAAATATATATATATATATATATATATATATATATATATATATATATATATATATATATATACACCTATTTATTCATTTTTCTTTTGAATTGATGATGATGAGCATTTTTATATGTAGAAAGTCCCTAAAATTTTTATTGGTGATATCAAGCGATGATGCTATGACCAAGCTACTCTTGTGAGATTCATAGCTGTAGCTTTTTTTCCCCAAAATATGATCACACCAAAAAGACGAGTATTTCTGCAACTAATCCTGTCATCTTTTCGTAATTTTGTGATTATATTAAAAATTGAAAACAATTGTGAGAATGCACTCAGAAATAATTAGAAATTACATTATATTTCCTTTGCTTCAGTCCTTAAAGCCAATTATTTGTTTGTAGCTGTCACTCAAGCGGCATGCGTAACATGTCTGTTGCCTTTTCCTTATCGTTACATAGTTATTTGACTCTAACGAAATACGTCAGCTGTCAAACATCAACCTAAGATTTTACATTGGATTATTGGAACCGTTTCAAATGTTTCCTATCCCCAAGGCATGAAAGTTCTGTACAATCCAACAAACTAGGGGGGGGGGCGCTGCTGTTGAAAATATAACAACCGATGGTATATAAGTATATAGTGATTTACTTGTCAAAGCTTGGATGTGGAACAAAGTCGAAAGTATGGAGACCCTATTGAGGACCGAACTCTCTACTGAGTATTAATTGATATAGCGAGACAGGCTTGTTAACCACAGCATCGATGTTTTTACTTGTTATATATTTACGCAGAATGAATTCCTAAATATATATATATATATATATATATATATATATATATATATATATATACGCAGAACGAATTCCTTAAAAAATCGTTAAGTTCAACCAGCAAGGTCAATGCATTTAATATTTACTTTGATATTTCCAGTTATCAAATAGGATGTTATATATCTGGATGAAAAATATAGATAAACGGTCAGAAGTTAATGGTTTTTTTCCGATTTCTTTTTAGTATATTCGACTATTTCAGTCATTCTCAAGGACTAGATATTGCTAGTGTGTCAGACAGTTTTCATGGATATATTTTTGCATTACTCTTCGCCGTAGTACCTAGAATTTAAGCGCAGTAATAGGTCGGTGGGAAGACCTCATCAGTTCACAGTCGAATTAGCTAGACGTAACCATTAATTCTAAGCTAACAATTTATTTTCTAGCACCTCTCCCTTGTGGAACTTTCTTCTGGCTCCATGCTTTCCAGCCAACATTGAAATTGACAAGTTTAAATGCAATTTCAATCGTTATCTACTGTCTTTTTTTATTACTGCTCTATCGTTCCCGCTTGTTAATAATGTTTGATTTTTTTTTAATCTTTCACACTCAGTACCCCACCCCGTGTCTTAGTGATTTTCCAACCGTAGCTTAGATATAGCACAAGTAACGGGCACCCAGTGAGGATCGAACTACTCAGTCGTCAATTGTTCTAGCGAGACATGTTTGCTAAACATTACACCGCCTCGAGGTGCCCAACGCCCCGTGTCTTAGCGGCTGTACTGCTTTGCATAGTGTGATATTATTAAAAGAAAAGTGCGATGATTCACCTCAAGGAAGGCTATATATATATATATATATATATATATATATATATATATATATATATATAATTATTTATTTAAAAATATGGTTCCAACTATAATATATATATATATATATATATATATATATATATATATTAGGTTTTAATGTATGTTATATTTACGGGATAAAGTGCTCAATATCAGAGATAGAGCGTATGTAAATATAAATATAAAAGTGAACATTGAAGTCAACACTCAGAGACGACAGGCTGTTTTCATGCTAGACGCAATCGTCAGGATGATTGCGTCTAGCATGAAACAGCATGTCGCCTCTGAGTGTTGACTTCATATCCACTTTATATATATATATATATATATATATATATATATATATATATGAAATATGTAGTTAAGCAGGAACAATTCAGATCAAACACAGATATCTAAAAATGTGCTCAATATACAGTTCAGAATAGAACGTGTATAGAAAGGATTATACCATAAAAAAGAAAAAGATATTTACCTTATTCTCTATACGGGTTTCAACCTCAATGTAATGAAGGAGGATGTTTAGAGGAAAAATGGAAACAAAAACAATATTCCTAAAATCAGAAAGAGTTGATATTTCGAGGTCACCTAATGAGGAAAAGAAGCTTAGCGAATTTAACGCGCATAAGATATAATAAAGGTTAGCGGGGCAAAGGAAAACAGCGAGTAAACTACTTGTGTAAATGTCTTGCCGAACAGTGAATGAAAGGGATAGTAAAGAGACAAACAGTGCTAATAGCTATTAAGGATTGGAAGTTGTAGAGACCAATGATTGCCCACGTCCTGAAGGGACATGTCTTATAAAACCCGAAGAAGAATTTATTACTTGCCAGACGAAAAAGAAAGATTTTAACGTCCCTGCACCATTCTTTATTCTGGCGATTATCAGAGTAACAGAAACCTGAGATCGAACCCATCATAGTAAGAAGGGCAACAGTTATGGAAATATAGACAGCTGGAGAGAGAGTTATAGCCGGAAAGTCGGTCAAGAGAGAGCATTAAAAAAAACATTTTGAATGCAATCAATTCCCAATGATCGACCCATGGTTGTCGACAATGGAGCATATTTGATTTGGAAATGCTGTCCACTCAATGAATGAAGCGAATAAATAGATATCCGGTCCCACTTGGAAGCAAGTGAACATTAATCGATACATTTCTGACCGATTTTTCTTTCTTCATATACATATGTATTTAGCTTTCTTTTTTCATTCAATCTTTTTCTTTTGGGTTGTTTTTCTTTATCGCAGTTTCATTCATTTCTTCTTCTTTTCTTTCCATTGTTTCTTTCTTTTCTTCGTATTGATCGCTTTCATTTATTACTGCTTACTTTTTCTTTCTCCCGTCTTTTCTTTTTTTGCTTTCATTTGCAACTGCTTTCTTTTATACTTTTGGATCACTTTATTTATCACTATTTTTATTCCTTCCTACTCCCGTCTTTTTGTTCCTTTTATTTCATATTGGTAGCTTTTATTGGTTCCTTTAATTTTCCTTCCTTCCTTCCTTCCTTCCTTCCTTCCTTCCTTCCTTCCTTCTTGATAACTTTCATGTGTCGCTGTTTATTCTTTGTTTTTCCTTTCTTTTTGATTTCTTTCATTTGAAACTGTCTACTTTATTTTTTTTTATCATCAATTCATCCCTTCCTTTATTACTTATTCCTTTTCTTTCCTTCTTTTCTTTCTTATTGGTTGGTTTAATTTCCTATTGTCTTCTTTCTTTCTTTTTTTCTTTCTTTCTTACTTTCTTTCTTACAACTTTCCTTTGTACTTACTTTCTGTCTTTATTCAACTTGATCTCTATGCTTTATCTTTCGTTCTTAATATTTACTAAACTTGCATTAGTCTGGCATATGGCTACAAAAGTAAAGCCTCAGTTAAGACTGAACTCATAGCAGCTGCGGTTATGATTTAACTAGATTCGCTTTCTAATCATTGCTTTACAGAAGACACGCTGTCGTTCCTAATATTTATTAAGCTTATCTTTGTTTGGTGCAAAAACAAAAACTTGCAAGAGTTTTGTGCGACTAGTTTGCAAACCACTGATCCACGACAAGGCGACCATTTTGTTTCACTTTCACTTTCACTTTCTCTCTTAAACTGGACCAGGACAAGTTGGGAATTATCGATATTCGATCTCATTAATTATATATGTCTTTAAGAGGTGGTGGTGAAGAGTCTGAATATGCTGGGAAGCCAGTGACAGTTCCCGAACGCCAATTGATACGTTTATCGATCTTAATGATCAATCCGTGTTCCTCTGAACCTGACAGCGGGAAAAGAGTAAGAAAAAATAACGAAAGAAATTACTGGAATGGGTGTGGCACAATTCTGCATTTATGCATTCAAGGGAAAAGGTTTGTATGTGAGCATTGCAATAAATACAAGAAAAATAATAGAGAGAAAGACGAAAGTTTGAAAGAGAAAAAAGAGAGATAAAAAGATAGAAGAGACGAAGAAAGAAGGGAAAAAAAAGAGGGAAAAGTCAAAAAGAAAATAAGGTAGTGAGAAAAAGAGAATCGGAAAGAAAGAAAAGGAGTTGTAGAGAAAGAAATGTGGCAGATAAGAAAAGAATAAAAGAGTAAAAGAAAAAAATGAACTGAAAAAAAGAAATCTGGGAAAGCGAGAAAAAATTACGAGAAATGAGAAAGAGAGGAATGTGTAAGCATTAGAAAAGAGAAAGGAACAGAAAGAGAAATAAATATTTCTCATGAAATGAGAAAGAAAAAGAAAGAAAATTAGAGAAATAAAAGGAGAAAAACAGAAAGAAAAATAAATAATTTCAAAAGAAAAACAAAGAGGAGGGCTTGCAAGGAGAAAGAAAAATTGTATGTGAGAGAGAGAGAGAGAGAGAGAGAGAGAGAGAGAGAGAGAGGAGGATGTAGAAAGACGAAAGAGAAAAAAGAAAAATAAGAAAAAGTAAAAGAATATCAAAAAGAGAAACCAAGTGAAAGAAAAAAAGAAAGACAAGGAATCCATACATCGAAAGAGAGAATGAAAAAAGTGAGAGAGGTAGAAAATCAGAAATAAAGAAATAAGAAAGAGAGAAAGAAGGAATCATAGGAAAAGAAGAAAACGCAAAATGAGATAGATAGATATGTTAGTATAAAGAAAAGAAAAGAATAGAATGAAAACAAAGAAAGCAACCACAACAAAAACAGAAAAATTAGAGATGCATAACAAAGGTGCATTTTTTATTTCAAAATGCACTTTTCGTCATCGTAAAAATGTCAGAAAGCACTAACGCTTCACGATTCGAATTTTGAATATCAAAAGGCAAAAACCATTTTTTCGAATTTTTAAAAGAAAAAAAAAAGGTCCTTTGCACGTTCCATACCTTCTTCATCTCCATTTCTCAATCTCCCAAATGTTTGAAGAATTTGAGACTCATTACAAATTCCTTTCTGACACCGGATAAACAAAACCGACATTTGCTCGTTTCAATTGACTTTTAAACATAAAAGGTCAGTCTTGTACTTTATCGTATAAATCAAAAGCTGATTTTGACGTCTAAGGTTTGAAAAAAAATATGCAAAAAACTGTATATAAAAATTTTGAAAATATGACATGGACCTGAATTATTAGAACTATTTACGAAATATAAAACCACACGCATGTCGCACCCAGCAAGAATCGAACGTTCTAGAAAATAATGCTATGAGAAACTCGTCAGAAATCCATAGTATAACGCCTTTGGTAAAGTTATAGATATGTGAGCACATCACAAAGACACGTTGCGAATCTCTTAAGCAATTAGTGTTGAAGGGGCATTGCAGCTAGGGCAAGATGGCTTGACGAGTCCTATCCCATACCAGGCTCATTCATTAGTGCAGATAATTTCTTTCCATAGATTGCTTACCCCATCAAAGCAAAATAACTAAGTCTACTCTACTATTTAACTAATTCGCTCGGGAAATAAAAATGGAAATCGTAGGGGAAAACAATCATTTGATATCAGTATACTTTTCTGCTCAGCCACGATAAACGTCAACGAAAGAAACCTCACATTTTCTCCTTTTTAAGGAAAGCTCATACCTCTCAGTCTGGTAAGCTAAGTGAGAAGGAGGTCCTTTATAAGAGTGCATTTCTAATAAATATGTTAATACGTATGTTGGTTTTAGAACGACGATGTTTTCGAGAAGACTTACATATAACTTAGATGAGTATAGTTCAAACTTATAGCATTTAAAGTCACACTGATGTCCACATTCACGGTTTAGACAGATATTAGCTAAAATGCATTTATATTACACCAAAATAATAATAAGCAAAAAAATCCTCGAAGACTTTTATATGAGAGAATTAAAGCAAAGTTTATATATATATATATATATATATATATATATATATATATATATATATATATATATTAAAAGAAGCAAAATCACAGAAAATGTTTTAAGTCGTGAAAAACAAAATTGCACAGGAAGACATCAGTATAAGTCGTCACATATAGAAGGAAACACGATGAGACATCATACGAAGTGGGATCGCAGTTTAATCGAATTAAACATAAGTTTTTAAAACCCATTAATTAATGTGAAACGTAGTAATATTAATTTTATAAGTCTATAAGTAATAGAAATTTTTTTTTAAATTTTTAATGGTAGAAAATTTGCTAAACATTATTGTTGAGGGGTCCACCCCTTTTTATACAAATGAACTCACCCAGTATATACATATACTACTGCACGAGCGAGACGAGAGTAAAAGAGAGCAAGACCGATGAGTCGAATCGAGTCGAGTCCAGAGTGACAGAGTAAAAGGTTGTAGGTAACCGGAAGAGTGAGGGGTGAGGTAACAGCGTTGAAGGAGTCACAGTGAGCAAGCACGTAGTAAGAAGTCATACAGTGATACTTCAATACCAAAGACTGTATATATATTTTGCTACTAACACGTATTCCTGGAACTACTAACCTGCTTTACCAGTTTGTATTATTACGTTAATACATTATTTTCATATATTCATTCCTGGCGGTACCGGATTTCAACCCAGAATCCACAACAATTACTTAAAAAGCTTCTTAATCCCAAATCATAACACTTGGAAATTATTTTTTTATAAACGATTATTTCTAAGAATATTTGCTTATAGTAATAGCAATTTAAGTTTTTTACAGTTTGTTACAGTATTTTTTTTTACTTCGTTTTTTAAAAAAAGTTGCCTTAAGGTTTTCATAAAACATAAATCAACATAAATGCAATACATTTAATGACCGTATATACTCGCGTATCATGCGACTTTTGAAGACCTAATTTTGTAGCTAATTTTAAGGGGGTCGCATCATACACGAGATATAAAATTAGTGTATGTATTGTTGACCCTGGTGACACATTTGATCAAACTATGCATTCATTTACTGGGGTCAAATAAGCAGGATACGCGAGTACACGTAGATATTTTCAATTTTATACTCGGATATTTAATCCTCATTTTTTTGGAAAATTTATTTTATATTGTGCATAAAATTAATGACAAAGAAAATATAATTACAGACTCACAAACACTTATATACACCTCTCTCTCTCTCTCTCTTGTTATATATATATATATATATATATATATATATATATATATAAATAAAAGAGAAAGAACAATAAGAGATATATACCGGTGTTCTGATTATTTATTTTTAGTTTTACAAAACAGTTCTCAATGCAAATCTATAGAGCATAAATATTATAGATTTACTTATTTAAAAATATGGTTCCATCGCTACACAGGAATTACCATATTTCAAAAACAGAAGCTAAAAACTTCAAATTCAATTATAGAATTAGATTAAATTAAAGTCCCTTGTTCTGTTTCATTTTGAAGCGAATTTTAGAATAACTTATTTTGAAATTTACTGACTTTTATAAGCACATACATTGATAATATTAGGGGAAATTCAATCATATATATATATATATATATATATATATATATATATATATATATATATATATATGTGTGTGTGTGTGTGTGTGTGTCTTTGTGTGGGTGCTTGTGTGTGGATGTGGGAAGAGCTGAAAATAATTATAAGGCCGCCAGCATACATAGTTTGCAAATATAAAATATTGTTCAGTGTGCGTAACCCTCTTTATGTAAAAGCTGGATGAAGAATTGATTTTAAAATCAATATTTTAGCACATCGCCTTCAATGCCCGTTCCAAAGATGGAAATACCATGAAATATTCTAAATGAAACATAAAAAGAAATGTAATTATAAGGTTTTCTACATGCCTGTAAAAACCGAATACACCTGTTTTGCACTGGTGACGTAAAATATTCCACTGGTTCAATAGGAATTTCCTCAGAGCAACACGTTATGCATGTGATTAAATCGTTGCTTTTTTTTTCAAATTGCCTTCCTTGTTCATAGACATGTCATAAAAAGAGGCCTTAGTAGTTCTCAATAGTTATTGCAATGTGGAGAGTTTACAGGCCGATCCCTTTCAGCAAAGCGTTTGCATTTAAGGTATTCCTTGCTGACATAAGTATGGTGACAGTTTTAATTAACAAGGTGGAATACAAAAGTTCTATGTTGCCAGTAGGGAATCGGGACAAGAATAATGCTTTGTCAGATTTCGATAATACTTCGGTGGGAAAAAGATGACAGTTTAGTCGAAAATTCCTTTCGACTCTAAAGGTAACTAGAAGCCGATCCGGTACAGTAAGTGTTGCGAAACACTGCCTATCTCGCGACCCAAATCCAAATAGGGATCAGTTAACTATGTGGGGAGAATCACGGAACGACTCTCTTCTCATAAATCTTTCTCACAAAGGAAAAGTGGAGAAGGGAGGGAAAGCAGGCCTTAAGTAACAAGGTGGCACACCTGCCCATCTTACACCTTCCGGTAAAACGATTACAAAAACCAGAGTTTGCTTTGGAAAACCAGCATGTCAAAAACACTCCGCCTCCAACGTCTGATCGAAAACCCCACACACGCAGGTAATTTTACTTATTTTTCCACAGTTTTAAGGACTAGTTGGCACACACGCACAGATCATAACATATTACACACACACACATACGCACCAACAATCAACCAAAAGCGCGCGCGCACACACACACACACACACACACACACACATATATATATATATATATATATATATATATATATATATATATATATTTTCATCCACAGACAGACTATTTCGCTGTATCATAGCTCTTCAATATCGCTAGACATCCGTTTGCTTCAAGCCGGGATCGAAACATCAGAGACCCTACCCCTAGGCTATCGTCGCACTGCAGAGAGAAAGGGAAAATTCAACTTTTGTTTTTAATACGAAATACGCCAGTCTCCTGAAGAACTTAATTCGTACTTGAAGAGGAAAACATTAATAGCAGTAGGAGCAGCTGTTTTTAAACACCCTTTCTCTCGAGAGCGTATATATATATTGTCATTCACAGACAGACTGTTTCGTTGTATCACAGCTCTTCAGTGTCGCTAGACGTCCGATTGCTTCAAGCCGGGACCGAAACCCGACCGATTACATATATATACAGGATGCATACAGGATGTATCAAAATTCATTTACAAACTTTGGCGGCGGGTTCCTCACAACAAAAAAGGACAAAAATATTTTGGGATCAAAAATGCATCTAAATCCGAGAGAAGGTTGGGATAAATAGGAAACGTTAATTAATCTAATATGTTTCACTCTTATTAATGATTCATATAGAGAATAAATTGTGATAGTTTTAATTTTGTGGGGTTTGATTTTCCTTAACTAAGCATGCTTCGTGTGCAGTTGACTTGTTAAGCAGCGCCAGTTTAATTTGTTGCGTACAGAACTCAAGCCGAGATGACGTGTCCTTTCAAAGCTCCAAAATTTACTGGATTCCAAGCCCAGCGGTAAAAAAAAAGTTAATATTGCTTTTTGTATCTGAGTGTATTAGAATTCTAGTTTGTCTGTCCGAGATTCGGCTGAGAATGTATATCCAATTGCGCGCGCGCGTGCGTGTGTGTGTGTGTGTGCGCGCGCG